GGACTGAAATAAACTGTATTTTTTCTTGTTCAGTAAAAACAATTATTAATCTCAGAGTTGGATGGAAATTTACCTCCGATTCGGTGATTCGATATCATTCAATATTTTATTGTGAATACATAAACAATGCTGCTACTACTTAAAAGACTGCGAGCGTATACCAGGCATTGTTATATTCTGGAGTCTGTGTAAATACTCGTATTACAATGCTAAAACAAATTACGCTATTTATCTTCTCACTAACAATTGTACAAAATAATTCAAATCCTCTTTGTTAAAGAGAGAACCTTTCATTTTATCTCCTTAAGGCGGCCCTGTTTATGGCATTTTCCATTGTATCGTCTATTAGTGGCCTACTTATCAGCTCCTTATACGGAGCGACAGAATTGAGAGCTTTCAGTATAACCATGGTAATCCTTGGTGCTCTTGAGTTTGGCATTGGAATTGCAGCGTCTGTATGCTGCTGCTTGATGAAGCCTTGTACATGCTGTTGTTGTGTCTCACAAGATGAGGTATTGTTTGTAAATTTTAATTCAAAGAAACGTTTAATTTGTGTTTGTTTGGGTGATCATGACAAATATCTAGCCTGCTTAGCCTGTCCCACTGCCCTACCCTCATCACTCTTATTTACCTACTTACCTTCCTTCCCTTTAGCCTGTCTACCTATCAACCTTCCCGACCACTGACTTATTTACCAACCCACTCACCCATCCACCAGCCTGCCTGCCCACTTACTGCCCTACTTCCTTGCTGACCCATCTACCTACCTACTGTTTTAACTAATTACCCACAAACGTTCCTACCAATTTACTTTTTCACCAACTCACCCACCCACCTACTTACTTACTTACCTCCCTATCTACCCACCAACCTGCCTACCTACTTCCTGACCTACCTCCTTACCCGCCCACCCATTTACCTCAATCCCTGTCCGTCTACCAACCTGCCAACCTACTTACAAAAGTACCTACATAAACAATTCCTATTTAGCTACATATGTCCTCAACTACCTAACTTTTCGACTAGCTACCTGCCCAACTTCTCACCCAACCCACCAAACTACCTACCTACCTACCTACTAATCTGCCTATGAACCCAAGTAACTGCCTACCTACCTACCTACCCTCTTGCTTACTCATCAACCCGCCTCCTATCCTACCTACCCAGCTACCTACGTTGCTTACCTACCCACCCACCCCACTAACCTGCCTTTGTGCTCGCCTAACCACCCATCTCTCTACCCTTCTACTTACCCACCTCCACCTTACCTACCCACCTTCGTTGATTACCCACATGTTTACCTTCTTGTCTGTTTTCATATCCAGCCATTAGTAACCCACCTGGTTATCTATTTATTTCCTTGCCTATCTAACTGCCCATCAACCACCTCCTTTCCTGCGTCAAGTCCTATTCAAAAATCTGTGGGAAAGATCTATTTAAACAACAGCCTCTATTTGGCGCTAAAATATGTGCAGATATTTGTGAGCGGATATCATCTGTTCCAAGATGCAAACAGTTTTCCGAGAGCGGATCTGGAGGAAAACTAAGAACTTCCAAGAACAAATAATGTCCAAGGACAAAATATCAGTTCATATTTCCAAACAATATAGAGGCTACTGTTTTCACTATCCTTCAAAGATTTTGCAGCGCGCGTAAAAAAATGTTTACGAACTGCTTACCGTATGCAGGGTGGGTTTTTTTCTTTTAAGTGATTTCCGGTACGACTTATGGAAAAAAAAATTCCCTTTTTCTGTAACAACCACAAAACCCTATACAATCTTGAATAAAATTTGAAACTAAGACTTATCGTAATAGATATAATGTTTAAAAATTTGAGAATACCGCTTGAGTAATAGTCTCAGATATCACCCAGTTTTAGCTGGAGTATCTTCGCTCTCGCGTTGCGTTTAGATCAATCGCGGGCGAGCAAAAATGTTTGTTGGATCGTAAGTACATATACACACACCCTTTATAGTCCTATTACATAAAACAAAATGTACCTTCCTAACGTATCCCACCCACATATTTACCAATATACATATTTGCAGAGCACTATTTCCTTTTCAATGTCATAATTTCCTTTCTTTTCTCATCTAAAATTTTTAGAGACGACCTTTGGTGCATCCTCCAAGTGTTCAGCCCATATTGGTTGACAGGCGAACTAACTATGTTGCCGTCGTAGTCCCTCCGTGAAAAAATCGCATTCAAGGAAAGTGAAATTACGTGATTCCCTAGATCATCAATCCAAAATTTTCAATAAAATTCTTATAATTTTTTTCTTGTCATTCGTGAGTTGACTACTTGAGTGACTAAAAAAAAAACCTAATAGAAAAGTGATATCACATTTTAATAAACAGGCGTGGATTCGTCTCGTAGCTTCATTCATAATGATTAAGGCATTAAAATATTTACTTTCTTTGATGATTTTTTTTTATCGGAAATAAAACTAGTCTTATCCTACTTTTTTAACTGAAAGTCTTATTTTTGCTTTTTGGACGTTCTTTTTTGTTTTGTTTTGCTTTTTGTGTTATTTCTTTTTTTTTTTCTAAAATATGTTTTTTGTTTCACTTTTATTTTGCAGATTATGTAAGACTTGCTTTATGTTAGAATTGCGTTTTTTTGTTTAGTGTTACCTTAGAGTTTTACGTCAGTTTAATCTCGAGTTTTTCCTATAAAATTCCTCATGAAGACGAAAATGAGAATCAAAAAGTTAGTAATCATTAAGTTGATTCTTTAATATTTGAAGTAAACCTTCTCAAAAAGAGTCTTCTGGAGATAATGTCTATGATAAACTTAGGAAGATACTACAACGACATTTTTTGGGTAGAAAAAAATTCGTCTGAGCTCCATGACACTTCGCTGGCACTCATTGATATCCCTGAGTGGAGAGAGGGACTATGGAGAGAGGGACGGGTGGGTGGAGAGAGGCACTCGTTCTATATGTGAGTCTATTCAAAGTGTCTTTCCAAAGACCTAGCCATGGCTCGAGCCCAGACCTCTTAGTTCAGCGCGGCAATTGGTCGTGCCATGTGCCATGAGGCAGAATACAACCTGCTAAACATTTAAAGCGCTCAGTAACTGAGACAGTTCTTGAGCTCCTGTAAAACGCCCATTTCGTTTACAACTCAAGAAATCTAGTGAACCTTTACTGATTTTAATTCATTTTATTTTGACAATCCATATTATGCCAACACTATCAAATGTATTTGCAGATTTTATGTTTATTTTTTCTCAGAGGCCACGGTAACGAATCCTGCAATCTGATTGGTTCTTAGAGCGGTCTGGGTTTTCCTTATATTTGCCCACGGACACAGGAACGCTTTCGTGAGTCGCCGAGTACAACTCTAACTTCCTTGCCATTTTCCATCAATAAATTTTGTTTAGTCGGCTGGGCATTATTTTTAAGCAAAGCATTTTTACCAAATCAAGCCAATTAATAACTTATTAATCGTCTGGTTACCGACAGAACATTTTTTTCGAAATTAGTTTGTAGAAGCATATTTGTGATTAAATGGGTTGACTCGCGGCCTATAAATAGTTTTCCGTCTACTTTAATTCTTCACAAATGTAACTCAGAAAGTTAAAACTGAGATATTTATTGATAACTGAATTAATCGATAAAACTTTCATTCATTTAATGTCTGAATTCACTCAAACTATTTTTTCGTTGTCGCGAAGTTTTCAGTCCTACTTCAAATACGCTTTCGGTAAGTCTTTTCGAGTCGACCTGTTCAATTTACCATTTGCACCGTAAATTTCACTGCCAAAACCATATGACTTCAACGGGCGAAAGCTGCGTTAACTTCCCCTTGGGTCTACTTAAAGTATCTCATTTGTCTCGAGTTATATGGCAGAAGAAGACAATAATTTACACGCTCCGTCGTTTCAGAGTTTGATTGGAGACCTTTTAAATCACCTTTATCGATACGCAAATGAAGATATTTCGATGAAGTCTATCTGTTTAACTTGCATTATCTCTGTTTTAACAACCATTTACTCGCTCAGAAATAGTTCAGTTTAATGAGGATCTTGCCGTTATTACAGCCCTAGATCATTCGGGTTATTTAGGCCGGAATTTTATGAAGTTTTAGAAGAAAAAAAAAAATAAAAATTTTATCCACCAGCTTAGGTCGGTCCGTATTAGGAAAAACTATGCCCTCTGTTTATAAGGTACAGTTTTTCCCAGCATAGACCTCCCAGCTGGCGAATAACATAGATGGCTCCACCTAGACACATGAGGTTAGTTATATCGACGCTCTAATGAAGTTTGACTTAGATTTTATGAAACGGCATTGTATTTTTTCACTTTTTTCTGCCTATTTACTCCCTATTCAGAGTTACTAATTTGTTTATGAATGTATAATACCTCAATCAAGCACAAGGGGGGTGAGAGACAGACACTTCAAGAAGTTTCTGTTTCCTGTTGTGTTTATTTCTGTTCGTTTGACGTTAATTATTTTTTTTGTCCATAGGGTTCAACCTGATTATGAAACGCGCATAATTCATGGTGAATCATTGTAGATGATTTTTGTGGTCAAGATCATTATAAGTACGCCCTTGATTCATTTTTCAGAAATTTTGCTTTTTGACTTTAATTATAAATTGAGCCAATAAATTTACTTCGTTAATTGGCAGTTTGAAGGGCACAGATATGTTTAACACTCCACCAAATATTAGGAAATTTTACGGACAGAAACGCAATAAATCCCATTCGAAACATTTCGATTCCTATTCCAAAAAAACTCAGAGTGACTCACTGGCTTTAAGCTTAATTTCGTCACCGTGACTCATTTAGACGCTGAGGAAATTAAGCATGGTGCGGAAGCACAATGCAATACCGATAAATTCTGGTCAAGAGAAACACTTTTATGGGTACAATGATAAGTTACATGTAAAATTGTTTTCGGGGCCTAATCAGATGGTACAATTTACACTCACGTCCTCCTAATGGACACAGTCCTGGTCTCCCCATTCATTCCGTCTACAGTGAGATAACCAATCTTCCGTCCCTAGGCATATGACTTATTCCATCCAGATCGGACCAGATCCCTGACCGCGTCTAGAACAACCGTGAGCCTGACATCCATCAGAAAAGCCAAGCTGACGACACACGACGTTGGCCTCGTTGATTGTCCAGTGATCATCACACACTGTGAGAAAAATTAAGAGTGCCGATTTTTCCTAGAGTTTTGCATCCTGTTGAACTACATGCATGCCTTGATGTGGGGAAAATTAAATTAGCGTAACTCCATTTTCTACATATAAACAAAAATGTACAAACTAAAATCCCTTCATTTGCTTTGACGAGGGGCAAACGCCACTCGAAAAGTTAGGTGACCACTTATGCAAAAGATCTTGGTAGAATAAGAGCTTTTCTGAATGGCTTCGAGCGTTCTTCGGGAACCATAACAAACTTTAGTATATAAGTAGACACTCTGATTGGCTACTAAAACTCCAAATATCCGTTGCTATTCACCTCTTACTAATTTGCTTGGGATTTGCGCCCGAAAATAGTATAAACATGGTAGGAATAAATTACCTAAAAAATCATATCTTGCCATTTTAGTATACACTCAATGTTCACCTCAATGTCGGTGGCTAGCAATGGATATTTACCTTGCCACTTCGCCACCACCAGCCATTTCCACTCAGGTGAGTAGTTCTTAGGTATTATTTCGAACTAAATCTACAAGAGATACTTAATTGCACTGTCCTTTATAGCACTTATTAGAAATAATACATGATTTATACATAATTCTTTCTAGATAAAAATACAAAGAATATGCCTTCAGCTCTAATCCAATGCTAAAAGCCAAAGAATTAACATTGATAAGTGATGGCTTGTACATTCGTTCCGTGGTATACGTAACTCGCTGCTTTCACCAGATCCCTCACATGTTCTTAACACGTTGAGTCATTTAGTTCACAGTGGTGTGCTTCCGCTCCAGTTTGTCTAAAATAAAGTTCACACTGACACAGTTATGGTTCAGCCGGGTAACAACGATATTCACTCGTGTCCCTGTCAATCACTCTGATGTTTGCTATTAGACGTTCCCTCACGAAGAACAGAGTGGATGGAAATGCTATGATACGGCATTAATCTAAAAAGAAAATCAAGGAAACATCCAATCACTCTAGTTCTACCCCTCTGAGAGTTTTAGACGTTGCTTAGCATGCTATTTAGAGATGACAATACGAATATCAATGATTCCGGCATTTTTCTGGATCCTCCATGGCAATAACAAAATACTGAGGTTTAACGGGTATTGGAAACAGCGTTTGCATGCGATATCAATCGGTTTTTCGATTCGGTAAGCTCGGTAGAATATTTGACCTCCAAAAGCGATCAAAATCTTTTCAATATAAATGTAAATTTTAAAAAGAAGTCAATTCTTTACATAGCGGGCGATCGACAAGTTATTTAAAATTGATAATTTATAAAGATTTAGTAGTTGCAGTAGTTTACGGACAGAGGTAAAGTAGAAACTCTTAAAGCCCAAACCTGAGGGGTATTAAAACTTGAGAACCGCTCCTACTTAGCATTTAACAATTTTAAAGGAAAAAATCTTGAAGATGAAATCACCACTGGTATATACCTTGCTTTTAAACCCAAATTGACCTTACCTATTTGAAAGGTTGTTAACTGTTTGGTGCTGAACTATACCAAACATATTTTGTATTTTTATTTAATCAGTTTGTTTGTTAGGAACACACAGTTTCAATAAGGATATTACAAAGAGCCCTAGAAACCCTCTCTTAAAGTTTAAGATCTTTCTTAAAAATTAAAAGATGAAATTGAATATCAACTTGAGGATCAGTAATCTTACAATAATAATCGCGAAACATCTTACCTACTCGTCGACTAGGAAGATTTCGTGTCCCCTCTGCTTATTTAGTATGATGTTTATTTCATACTTGAAGTTATTTCTTTATCCACGCTAGAAAAATCTTTTGCGATGGAAGTTTGGTTAATAACAAATGCAAAGTTATTTCCACTGATTATGTAAGATTGTATTATCTCTTCATTATGTCTAGACTAAAGAAATATTAATGGATCTTATAATGTGAAACTCATGTCTTTTGAAGGACATCGCGAGAACTCTGTTGGACTTTTTTTTTTTTAATCGAAAATTTGGTAAACTGAGTCACTGCAGTGACGATCGTGGTACTCTCATCTCCAGAAGTGTCTCAGAGGGATAAAAAAAGTGAATAAAGGGAGAATTTTTGCTCATAGATAATAACAAAACAAAGGACTAAAAAATGACAACAGTTTTGCCTTCAATTTTCGGTCTCTGAAATGATACATTTCGAGGTTTTTTTAAATAACAGCCAAAGTCTCTGTCTCATGTCTTCAAAACTCGGCCAAAAAGGAACCTTTATGATGTTAGAGAAATATCTCACAACAACAATCCGCCGAATAAAATTGCGCTGCTTAGTTAAAAGAGGGATATGTTTACTTCTCGTCTCAAGGACATGGATAGTACATTGTTTTGCTGCATACTTAAAACAACTTATAATTTTTTTTCCTGTCTTCTTCCATCTGCTATCTCTATCTTTTGACTCCACTTTCCCACATGTATTATTCCCTCAATCTCAGTTATTTTTTCTTAATAAACGTCATTCCTTTTGTTCTCGTGTTCTTTTTATTTACCATAATTCAAATTCTGATAGATTTTTTCCGCGGAATTTTTTTCTTGTTGTTTTTAAAAGCTTCGAAGGAGAGCGTTCCAAAATTTGGCTCACATTTTTTTCCCTAGATACGCTGAGAGGGTACGTCTAAAAGCAATCAACACCAAAGGTATCAGTTCATTGTTGCTTCGAAATTATTAAAGAAATCGCCTATCGCGAGAGCCGCTTACAAAAACCTTCTTAAGTGTGAGGAATTCAGTTCCCTAGGTTACGAGGCACAGTGTCTCACGGCCACTTAAAAGCACTTTTTGTGTCAACTTGATCTCCAAGAATCTTTTTTTTTTAATTGTTATTTTCCAAGTAAACTAACTTCAAATTCCATGGTTGACTTAGTTGTGCGTAGATTAACTTACAAATGTGCAAATAAGACTGTAATTATTTATCCCCTTAGAGGCGTTAAAAGATTTTTATTCTATCCAAATCAAATTTACCCAATCCTCGCTCAAGGCTCAGTAATTTTCCAATGACCTATCACCATTCATTAGAAGTTAATTCCCAGTCAATTTTCTGTAGCCCTCCCTTTATACTGTGTTGGTGACAACTGACATCCCCTTCCGTTCCCCCTGAAAACCACCTGATCTCCCCAATTCCACCCCCTTCCCCCTAAGTGATATTTGATGACTGGCCCCATGGTAAGCGTCAATGAAGCAACAAATACAAAATCATGGATATGGGTAAAACTAAGTGACAGAGTTACATTGTTCCTTCTCTATAATATAACATAATGAATATGGGTAAATTAAGTAACAACGAGCTTGTCGCCTCTCTATAATATAACATAGTGGATATGGGTAAAACTGAGTAAGAGAACGACATTGTTGCCTCTCTTTAATACAATATAATGGATATGGGAAAAACTGAGTAAGAGAACGACATTGTTGCCTCTCTATAATATAAAATAACGAATATGGGTAAAATTGAGTAACAGAACAACATTGTCGCCTCTCTATAATATAACATAATGGATATGAGTAAAAATTGAGTAACAGAACGACATAGTTGCCTCTCTATGGTATAACATAATGAATATGGGTAAATCGAGTAACAGAACGAGCTTGTCGCCTCTCTATAATATAACATAATAGATATGGGTAAAATTGAGTAACAAAACAACATTATTGCCTCTCTATAATATAACATAATGAATATCAGTAAAATTGAGTAACAGAACGAGCTTGTCGCCTCTCTATAATATAACAACGGATATGGGTAAAATTGAGTAACAGAACAACACTGTTGCCTCTCTACAATATAACATAATGAATATGGGTAAAATTGAATAACAACGAGCTTGTCGCCTCTCTATAATATAAT